ACTACTACTACTACTACTATTATTATTATTATTATTATTAAATTTTGTCACAGATATTTGACTGGTAGATGGTATTCTGCAATTCAAGATAGAATTGCAGGACCCCATCTACCAGTCAAATATCTGACTGTAACAATTACATCATCATTATCATAATAATATACTACCAGCTCCCCACCAAATGTGCTCTGTGTTGCAAATCCCATACTGCATTCAACACAGCTCACTTCATCTTGGAATAATAATTATTATTATTGCAGAGGTTCTCTTAAGAAAGTTTGACTAGAGTCAAAGTTCATACCCGGGTTCTCTATATAATAGATCCCGACAGTATCAGACCCTTGGGTTGCCAGTTTCAGATTGGGAAACTCCTGGAGATTGGGGGGGATGCCTGTGCCTGGGGAGGGGAGGGTTTGTAGGGGGATGCGGTGCTACAGAGCCTGACCTCAGAAGCTGCCATTTCCTCCACGGGAACCGATCTCGGTGGCCTGGGGAGAAGTTGCAGTTTGAGGAGAACTCCAGGCCGGCGGCCGCACTTGGAGGCTGGCACTCATAGACAGCCCCCCCTGGGTTCAGCAACCTGCATCCTGGAAGCCACAAGCAAAACATGAAGATGACTGCTTTTCCTCACTCAACGTATCCGGTAACTTGTATGCTGACTCTGAACGTGGAGGTTCCATCTAGCTTTCCTAGCTAATAGCCAGGAATTTATTCGATTCCTTTTAAGAGCTATCAGTGCAATAGGTAAAAGGGCACACAGTTTTCTACCCTCACCTTGGTACAAGACAGGGTTTTTAAAAGACTGGAAATGCATTCGCAAGCAAACAGATTTCTCATTCCTGTCATGTGGCTAGGATTGCCAAGCTCCAGGTGGGGCCTGGAGATCTTCCGCTTTTACAACCGATCTCCAGACTACAGAGATCAGTTCCCCTGGAGAAAACGGCTGCTTTGAAGGGTGGACTCTGTGGCATTGTATCCCCCTGAGGTCCCTGCCCTCCCCAAACCCTGCCATCTCCAGGTATTTCCCAACCCAGAGCTGACAACCATAAAAAGGTAAAGATTCCCTTGCTCGAAAGCCAGTCGAATCCAACTTGAGGGTTGCGGTGCTCATCGCTGTTTCAAAGCCGAAGAGCCAGCGCTGTCCGAAGACATTTCCATAGTCATGTGGCCGGCATGACTAAACACCAAGGCGCATGGAACGCTGTTACCTTCCCACCGAAGTGGTACCTATTTATCTACTTGCAATTTCTTGCTTTCGAACTGCTAGGTTGGCAGGAGCTGGAACTAGAGACTGGAGCTCACTCCGTCATGCGGCACACTCGGGTCTCATTCTTTTCAGTGGGGACAGATCAAGATTCAATGCTCCCTCTAAGCCGTGGAGTCGTGTGAGCAAACATTCCACTTTGAGAGCTACGGGCATTAAAGTTGTGAGCGAGCGACTGGGCTACTGCATAAATTAGTTTGCTCTGGAGGCATCCTTCCTGAGCTAAGACAAAAATGTGTGGGCCGGAGGCTAAAAAACGGAGCTAGCTCACGCTAACTCAGCTTGGAGGGAACACTGGCTGTGCTCGTCCGTCTGTAGCAGTAGAAAAGAGAAAGAGTCCAGTAGCACCTTGAAGACTCACAAAATTTGTGGCAGGGTAGGAGGCTTCGTGAGCCACCGCCCACTTGTTCAGATAACTGAAGCTCACGAAAGCCTACCACAAATTTGGTTAGCCTTTAAGGAGCTACTGGACTCTTGCTCTTTTCTCCTGTTCAGTGGGGTTTACTTCAGGTTACCCACTTCAAGGTGGAGACTAGAGCTCTCTGATGTTACACCTGATGTCCCCACCATAGAGATCCGTTCTGCCAGATGGAATTGGCTGTTTCGGAGGCACAGGCTTTGTGGCCTGACATCTCTGCTGAGCTCGCTCTCCCTCACGATGCACCCTAACCCATCACTGCCCACAAATCTCCAGGGATATTCCAAACTGGAGTTGGCAACCCTAAAACCAGCATTACAGTCTTAAGACATACTTGCTTGGAAATGTCCCTCCAGGACTCGCAGGAAATGTCACTGTAAATAAGAAGTGAATTCCTTCCAAGTCAATAAGACTTTTACCGTGCTTTGCCCCAAGTAAAGCAGGATTTCCTTTTGAGTGCAACTGATAAGAGAAGGTGGTAAAAGAACCCGAATTACTTTGCCCAGCCATGAAATGGGGTCTCCCAACCTTTGGACAGGATCCTGTACTTAAGCTTTAGAGCCATATGTTCCAAAGCAATTAGTAGCATATATAAAAAGTATAGTGTGATCCCAAAGTAAGTTACACCCTTGTAAACCCATTGACTTCCATGGGTTTATGTACTTCTAACACTCAAGCTGCGGTGGCTCAAGTGGTTAAGACGCTGAACTGCAGGCTGTGGAAGGTCAGTAGTTCAGCAGTTCGAGACCCGGATTCCGCATGACGGAGTGAGCTCCCATCTCTAGTTCCAGCTCCTGCTAACCTAGCGGTTCGAAAGCAAGAAATTGCAAGTAGATAAATAGGTACCCCTTCGGTGGGAAGGTAACAGCGTTCCGTGCGCCTTGGTGTTTAGTCATGCTGGCCACACGACCACGGAAACGTCTTCGGACAGCGTTGGCTCTTCGGCTTTGAAACAGAGATGAGCACCGCAACCCTGGAGTCAGACTCGACTGGCTTTCGAGCAAGGGAACCTTTACCTTTAACACCTTCTAGGATTGCACTATTGAGCAACTAGTTTTTGCAAACCAGACCTCAGGGGAAAGGGGCAAGAGAAAGCAGGATTATCTCAACCAACTGGCCATCCTAGTCTGAGACAATCCACAAAAATAACACACAATCCCAAAACAGTCTATGAAAAAATATATATACAGATGTATGCTAAATGCCCATAGAGCATAATCAAAGAGACTAGCTTAAAGCCATAATATCATTTTGTGTCAGGTAATATAAAGAACAACCACTTATTCCTTCACAGAAAAAATACAAAGGGCAGTAACATTTCACATAGCAATCTGCTCCAGACTCTCAAAGTCTATATCCCTCTAACAGTCTTGTAGTTTCAAAAGAAGTCTGCTCCAAATTCAAACACTTCACTTATTCCGGATATTAGGTGTTTCAGACCTCTGGTCTTTCCTCAGGAACAAATCCTACATAGGAATCTTACATTCAATGTAACTTTCAAGTTGACACTTTCATTAGTTTACTTTTCTGTTAATCTACTCGGGCAAGGTCTCCTCACTTATTTCAAAACATGCTAGTGCTGCTGCCAAAGTTAAATGGACCCAAACAACGTCTCACTCTATTTTTGCCATCATCTGGTTGGTTAATACCCATGTTTCATAGCTGCACATTGAACCAATGGGGTGGGGAAGGCAGAAGAAGAAGAAGACGAAAAAGAAGGAGTCGGATTTATACCCTAGCCTTCACTTGGAGTCTCAGAGCAGCTTATAGTCTCCTTCCCTTCCTCTCCCCACAGCAGACACCCTGTGAGGTGGGAGGGGCTGAGAGAGCTTTGAGAGAACTGCTCTTGAGAGAACAGCTCTGAGAGAACTGTGTCTGACCCAAGGTCACCCAGCTGGCTGCATGTGGGGGAGTGGTGAATCAAACCCAGTTCTCCAGATCAGAGTACACCGCTCTTAACCACTACAGTTGTTTTCCTACTTGTGTTGTCCCCCTCACACACACTTTCCCTCTAGATATGACTTATCAAAGTCCAAACGTACCACTGAAGCAGTCACTGCCCCAGTGATAGGGTTGCCAATCTCCAGATGAGGCCTGGAGAGCACCCAGAATCACAGGTAATCTCCAGATGGCACAGATCAGTTCCTGTGGAGAAAATACCTACTTTGGAGGGTGGACGCTATGGCACCATACCCCGCTGAGGTCCCTCTTCTCCCCAACTCCAAATTTCCAAGAATTTCCCAAACCAGAGTTGTCAACCCTACACATCATTTGCCATGTATTTCTACTAGTGCGACAATTCCACTTGCAACGCTTCACAGGTACAAGGCTCTCTTAGAACCAGTTTGGTGTAGTGGTTAGGAGCGCGGACTCTAATCTGGGAGAAATGGGATTGATTCCCCACTCCTCCACATGCAGCTGCTGGTGTGA